AGGTTGGTTTTTGAAGTGATGAAATGGAACGGAATGAAGAACCGACCTTATTGGTACAATAATTATTTATAAGGAAAATTTATCGAGTAGGATCTTATTAGATTCATAATAATGTGTATTGAATTAATGTAATTTTATAAAAAAAATTCAATCCAAAATTAAAGATATTTAGCTATAAAGAACAATACATGTGACAATGATGATAAAGTGTGTCAAAACCCAATTTGACTATTTAATATAGTGCCACAGGCCTTGTTTTTAATTAGTTGTAGGAAGGGGAAAAAAAATCGACCACTTTATATATATATATATATATTATATATATATATTATATAATATATATATATATATATATATATATATATATATATATATTATATATATATATATTTTTGACAATAGCAAAGGAAAAAAAATCGACCACTATGAACACTAGTTCCCTCCATTTAAGGCCTCTACTCTTTACCTTTAAAAACATTAATATTACGTAGACCTCTAAATATGTAACACGTGGAAATTTTAACTGGTATACTCGATCATAATAAGCTAGGAGCTGTTTAAGAAGGATCCCTTCAAGGTTGGTACCATCATGATCACTAGAGTCTTTTAAGGAAGAATGTCTATTGTTAGAAATTAACTTTTAAGAAGAATTCAAGAATATCTAACTAGCTTATTACACAGTACATAATTGCAGATTTTGGTGTGACGATTAAAGTAGGATGGGCTGGGCATCATACACACGTCAAAAAAAAAAAAAAAAAAAAAAAAAAAAAAAAAAAAAATCATTGTACTTGATTCTTCCTTTCCTTGTTTTATGTCAAATATGGCCCGATAACTTAGAAGATCAATAGATAGTTGAGGGGGTACTATTATATGAGAATGTGAGAATTTTAAATTCCGTCAAAAGGTGTGTATCTTGTAATTTGGTTTTCGCTTAGTTCTTTAATTAAAAAATTAAAAAAAAAATAACTAAAATAAAAAAAAAAATTAAAAAATAAAAAAAAAAACCTTAATCAATGTTGTGATGAATTGGAGAGAATAATATTGGGATTCATCCTTTAATTGTGATCATTTTGATTGAGTTAATTTATTTTAAGTAGTAATTTTTTGGGTGAATTAGTGTTGTCATTTAACATTTAATGTACGTGGTATGAGCAGCAATTGGCATATGAGTATGCAAGAAGAGGAGCATGCCTATTGCTAGCAGCGAGAAGAGAGCAAAGCCTCCGAGATGTAGCCTATATGTGCCTTGAGCTTGGTTCACCAGATTCTATTACAGTTACTGCCGATGTTTCAATTGTTGATGATTGCAAACGAATTGTTGATTCCGCCATATCACACTTCGGAAGGGGTAAGTTGCACTAGCTTTTAATATTTTATATCTATCTTACACTCCTAGCCACCCGATAGGTAATAATATTCTCAATAGGCCAGGTCTTCAAAGGGTGGCTCTAATATAAGAACTCAATAGATGCATCTATTTTGGATAAATCTTCATTTAGCTAAACCAAGCCTACTCCCACGGACAACATGACTATACCATAAAAGCCCTACGTGTCTACAACCTAAAAACAATTGGTAATATATGGAGTAGCACGCCAAACTTATAAGTTATGCTACGTTACCTTGATCTCCTTCAATGTAAGACAATTATTCTTGACACTTCTGTATTATTAATTTATTAATTATTATCTTAACAATTTCTCATTATATTATCTATTGCCAAGAAGTTCACTGCAATTTTATTTCTAAAGAAAAGATGCCCTAAGATTTCAATTTATTGTGTTGATGATATATTGATTTTGTTAATTGAAGTGGACCATCTGGTGAATAATGCTGGCATTACATCAATTAGCATGCTTGAAGATTATGAAGATATCATTATACCAGCATCCATCATGGTAGATTCTTTCTTTTAGTATGTACGACATCCATTTTTCTTTTTCCCGCGTTTAATTTGAAATATACAGAATATGGCATTAGTCATTTAGGTCTCAACTATTATATATTTATCACTATTTGCAGGATATCAATTTTTGGGGTGCTATATATGTAACTCATTTTGCAATTCCACACCTTAGAAAAACTGAAGGAAAGATCATTGTCATGTCTTCCTCGGCTGCTTGGTTGCCGACCCCACGAATGAGCATTTACAATGTATGAATTGTCTTCGTCTACAATCAATAAAATACACGACTTGGTTATAAGTTTAAGGTAATGTTATAATTTTCAGGCAAGCAAAGCAGCAATGATAGCCTTCTATGAGACAATAAGGGTAGAGCTCGGGTTAGATATTCAAATAACTATAGCAACTCCTGGATTTGTAGAGTCTGAAATGACAAAAGGGAAGCACCTTGCACCCGAAGGTTTGATGAATGTGGATGTGAACTTGAGAGATGTAAGATTTTATTGATCTTATTTCTAATTTGTTATTATCAGTAGTAATCATAATCAATTCCAACAATTGATTTAATCATTTTGAATAAAGGAAATTCTCCTTAATTCCCCTAAACATATATGTATGTTAACCACAAAATTTTAATGGAAAATAATACTAATAAGGTTATGTATACTATTTTCTTATGTGAGTAAGCTTGTGATTAATCATAGGTGCAAGTGAGTGCATCACCAATAGTCACGGGACAAAGGTGCGCGAAGGCCATAATAAACAGTGCATGTAGGGGTGATAGATATGTGACGGAACCAACATGGTATAGGGTACTAAGCTGGTGGAAAGCATTCACTCCGGAGCTCCTAGACTGGTTTTTCTCGGCGTTCTATCTTATCAAGATTGGTGATTCACCCTTTAATTCATTAAGCAAGATGATATTGGATCTCCCCGGGTTAAGGGCTATGGTTTATCCATCTTCAGTCTACTCACCCGGAGTCAAAAACCAAGTAATATGTTACTCTTGTATTGCTTGTTGTGTCTTAATAGTCTAGATAGCCAAAAATATAAAAAACTGTTGGTTCTTTCATCATGGACTTGCAACAATTATACGTTGTATTACATAGTACGAGTACCAAATTATGTATTGGGCTAGTTTATATTATATTACTTGGTTCATTGGATGTCCTACTAAATGCAAGTTATTACTCTAGGAAATAATTATATTATGTACCATAATCTCATACATTAAGTAAGAGTTATTCTTGTACGATCCTTCTCGGCTAGATGTGTAATTTTTTGGCAAAAAGTAAATTGTGTAAGGGACTTTTTATCTTTATTTTTTTGCCCCATACCTAATAATTGGTATAATTTTAATAACTTTGATTATAGATTCCCATTAATATATAAGAAATTATATAGTCTGTTACCGAATATTTACGTTTTTAACACCCATTTTGAAGACGATGGGCAAAAACATAGAGAAAAAGGGAGTACCAGTTACCATACAAAATCAAGCAAAAACAAACTACTTTTTGACAATTTTGCCATACATGAATAGTTTTTTTTTTTTTGGACAAGCCATACATGAATAGTATTATATTGTCGAAATAAGTCATTAAATTGACAATATAAGCTTACGAATTGTTGATATATGCAATAAAATTTTGGATATTAGTAGTACAAGCTAATAAGGCCCAGTTTACTTCACCTAATTTTTGCTGAAATGAAACTAATTTCACTGAACTGAAATTATTTTAGATATAAAGAAATTATTTTTACTAAACTAAAATTAATATTACTGAACTGAAATTATTTTTGCTGAAATGAAATTATTTTTACTTATTCTCTTTTATATTTCTTCTTTAGAGTTACTGATTTTTAATGAACTGAAATTATTTGTACTGAACTGAAATAATTTTTTCTAAGCAGAACTTATTTTTACTAAAACAAAACTTATTTTTACTGAACAAAAATTATTATACTGAACAGAAGTTATTTATACTGAGCTGAAATTATTTATACTAAACTAAAATTATTGACATATACAAGCAATTGAAACATCAATATAAGTTATTAAATTATTAAGGTGTTAATATGAATTATTAATTAAATTGCTGATTAAAGCCATAAAATTATTGATACAAGTCACTACATTGCCCGAATTTAAACTACAAAATTGTTGATATTGTTAGGAAATAAGGGGTGTAATTGTCTTTTATCAATGCGGAACAAGTCAATAAAAAATAAGAACAAGAAAAGCAATAAAGAAAATAAACAAAGAGCACAAGGATTTACGTGGTTAGGTCAAATTAGACCTACATCCATAAGTGAGGGATTCGAGAGTTTCTTCACTATAATGGAGAAATAACGAGAGAATAATACAAGGAGTCCTAAATCTAATAATGGCTTAAAATGTATGATCTAATTGATCAGCTAAGGGGTCCTTTTATAACATAAAGAAACCTTAATTAAACCCTAAAATTGTTCCCCAAGTATATATAGTCAAATAGTCGTCATAGAAAAGATATAATTTTAGGATATCATCCCTAAAATAATTAAGCTAAAACCGGACCTAAAATTTTGAGATTTCGACTAGGCACTCAAGCACTTCGTCAAGTCTTTGTAAAACGGTCATAATTTTCTCGTTTCTTATCATAATTGAATATTATCATTGGAAAGCTCTTGAACCAAGCTATCACTTCCAACTTGAATCACCTCAAAATCACTTATAATTTGAGGGATATCTGCATTCAAAGTCAGTCCTACTAGATTTCGAGTCACAAATTAACAGATATAAGCACAAGCATTATCGATATAAATTATTGAACACTTGATCTAAATTATTAAATTGATTATACAAGTCATTAATTTGTATAGGAGTTGATAAATTTGCTACATAATTCATCATACATATTACATCTTTAACATACTACATTGTGTTTGTATAGGTGTATTTGTGTTTCCTAATATAATCGCACAAAATATACTCCTTGCTAACGTGTCTTACATATCGTATAGAAGGTCTAAATTGTTGCCACATCACACCATATTGGAAATTGGATCGAGTTTCCATCTTCCATGCCAAATTTAGTGTACTAAATCACTTAATATCACACCCACCTTTGATCCCTCTCTTTCTCTTATACACAAGACAAGCTAAATTAGCTATGAAAAACCTTATAAATCAGATTCTAGACGTTGCAACTTCATGCTTAGCTTTCATAGCACTAATCTTTATTCTTCCACCTTTCTTATGTTTGAAGTTCTTTCTCTCAAGTCTAAATTTCATCTTCAGCGAAAATGTGTCCGGAAAAGTTGTGCTCATTACCGGAGCATCCTCCGGCATTGGCGAGGTTCGTCTATCCCTAAATTGTTTGTTGTCTCTATGGTTCCTTTCGTTTTTACATGCAACATGTTTGACTTTAGCATTATTTATAAGCAATGTTTATTATTTTATTGTTGCAGCAATTAGAGGCTCAGAGTTGGGCATTTCCCCTAATAAAAATTTATCCGTTAATATCTTCGGAATATAAAACTTGATGTTGTGAGAGTATAATGATAAATTTAATAAGACTCCACTTAATTATATTTTTCCTTACTTTTAAATTAATATGCGTAGTCAATGAATAGTGAATGAATAGTAGAAAACCTAATCGTTGTTATAATTAACACGTCAAAATTCTAAGCATATAGCGCGAGATTCAAATTTTATGACTTTGGATTGAAGATCGTGAAAAGTCAAATAAACAATATTTTAAAAATGAAGTGCACAAAATCTAGTTGTATCTAGGCAAAGCAATATGTTAAATCACAATTACAAAAACCTACGCCACATTTGTCATTTCGCCGTATGTCACAAATCGTGGAAATGGTAATGGAGTTGTATGTAATTTTTGTTAGGATTTCTTGTACGTGTTCATCACCATGGCGATGAAAATAAATCCCAACATATGTGGTTTCGTGCATAAATTTTCATTACCCCATACACAGTACTACATTTAAAATGATAATAGATGGTAACGAAAATTTGTAAAGAAAATGACAGAGAGAGAAGCATTACCTATATTGCCATGAATTTTTATTTTTTTTCCGTAATTGCTAAAATAAATCATCAGTTCTACGGCTCTACCTCTACCACTAGTCCACTACAAAATATCAAACGGGTCTTTTAGACATATAATTCTAGACAATATTTAAGTAAGAATAATTTATCATGTTATTCTACCAATGGCATTGTTAATCTGTTTGCATCCCAATACTTGGTTTTTTTTTTTAAATTGGCAAAGTAAAGTTGATGTGTATTTTTGTATTGGAAATACTTTTGTATTAGTTTGCACTACCACTTTGTCATTCTCTCACAGATGATAATATGATATTGACTTGTTTTGATCCTCAAATAAAGCATCTTGCATATGAGTATGCAAGGAGAGGAGCCAAATTAGCCCTTGTAGCCAGACGGCGGCAACGTCTCCAAGATGTTGCTGAAACCAGCCGTTATCTTGGTGCACCTGATGTTCTTGTCATCTCGGCAGATGTTACTAAAGTTGGAGAATCTAAGCATTTCATCAATGAAACAGTGAATCATTTTGGTGGATGTAAGTAAAGTTTATGCTTAAAGCTTTGCATTGACTACATGGGTATATGCATTAATGCATAACATATTGAATTTACTACAGGATTAATTAGTGCAACAGAAATATAACTACAAGAAGATTTTTTACATGTATGCTACACAACAGTAACATTATTCATAACCAAAATAATTATTTAGTACAGAAAAGATATCATCTTACATTCAAACACTAGATGCAAAAAATATAATTAAACCACGATATTATTTAAATTGGTGTAGAGAGCCACAGGACAATGACGTACACAATTTGATCAGGATAACCCCCCCCCCCCCCTCCCAGCTCCCCCGGGGTGTAAGTTGATCATCCACATTACACTAGAATTTTATGATACAATGAAAACATGTGAATATTTATTGACGAAGCTTCTATCATTTATAATATACCATAAAGTACGTAAATACAATGAGCCATTATGGCAGGGTGGGGGGAGGGAATCATAGCAAACAAGCAATTTAACAATTTGTAATTGACAATTTGTCCTTGCATTCACGCACCCTGCAATGAAAGTGGATCATTTGTTGAACAATGCTGGAATTTCCACAATGAGCATGTTAGAAGAATTCCCTGACATAACAAATGTTGCACCTGTGATGGTAAATCTTGTTCATTAATACTTTTCAGCTTCTGTATACTGGTTTAACCCTTGCATTAAGCCGATACAGCTTATTTTAATGATTCACCACTCCTGGAGATCTTTTCAGGAAACGAACTTCTGGGGCTCAGTGTATAGTACCCACTTTGCAATTCCACATCTAAAAGCAAGCAGAGGCAAGATAATAGTTACTGCCTCGTCTGGAGCCTGGTTGCCTGTTCCACGAATGGCTTTCTACTCTGTGAACATCTCACCATACTTGATAAAACCGATTCTATGTTTATTATTTCTTCATCTCACTTGTTCACCTATGGCCCTTACAGGCAAGTAAAGCAGCAGTTTTAAGCTTCTTCGAGACATTGAGAGTTGAGCTTGGAGGAGACATAGGGATCACAATTGTAACTCCTGGGCTGACTGAATCAGAATTGACCAAAGGAAAGATCCTCTCAAAGGATGGCAAAATGGTACTTGATCAAAATATGAGAGATGCAAGTTTGCCTCGTATCTTTTCTAGAGTTGCATTTCAAAAAATAAGATAATGATACTATGTTCAGTTACAGCATATACCATGATGTCTATCATATAAGGCATAAGGCAAATCTTCTATGCAATGAATTCTTTCATTCATGTCACCTGCAAAATATATCTAGAAACACTTGTGTTAGTAAAATATATAATAAAAACATAGAAGGTAACTAGAAATACCACAGCAACTAATCAAGCTCGTTAGAAAAAATACTGTGAAGTTGATGATGGCCTTACTAAATTCGTAGGAAACACTAATTATACTTCACACTAAGAAATTTGATTGAGCAACCTACATTAAACTCGATCAACTCATTTATATCTAATAAAAACTTCTGAAACAAACATTAATCACAATTTCATCTAACAAAAAGTGTAGTAAGACAGTCTCGAGAGATGATGGAATCAATCAAAGCCTTAATCCCATAAGTGGGGTAAAGCTGATGGAATATAGTGTAGATAATAATTAAAATTCTAATCTGAGATTGGTGAAATTCTCTTATATTAACCAGTCTTTTCGAAGTGTAAACATCATATATTTACATATCATATAAACCAAACTTTTCAAAGAGAGGAAAAAAAAAAGTGGAAACACATGATGTTTGCATCTTAGGTAGCAGAGTGTTCTCCACAAAACTGCATCTAAACCAATCTTTACAACGTGTTAACATCATATGTTTACAGCACAAGTACTGAATTTAGTCATCTGCTGCATATTTTATGCCAGGTACAAATTAGTGCAGTCCCAGTAACATCAGCGGATAGATGTGCAAAGGCCATTATAGATAGTGCTCGCCGTGGTGACAAATATTTGACAGTGCCATCATGGATGAGGGTAACAATCCTATGGAAGGTATTTCTACCTGAAGTACTAGAGTGGTGCAACCGAATGCTCTTAGTGGCTGGACCTGAAAGACCGCCAACAGAAGCGCCTAGCAAGAAATTCCTGGATCTTACTGGATTACAAAAGGTCATGTATCCACCTTCAATCCAATGACAAAAGTCCACAGTTGTAACCATTGGATTGAGGTGTCCCACAGGCGGAAAAACAGTTTTTTTTTTCTAGGCGACTTCCTAGTGACAATTGCATATGCAGAATAACAACAAATTTTATGTTGGAATGCACTTATAGACTGTTGAGACTTCTGAAATTAACGGCCCCCTTGGCAAAATTACCAATACATATGTTCTAAGGCGGACACTATACACTAGCCATGGAATACCATATTCCTAGTCTCCAAGATAAAATAGTGTAACCATTAATTTTTTTTAAAAAAAAAAAATACTAAGCAGCAAATAACTGCATCCAACTCTAGCTGGCTGAATTTGGTTGCTCATACAACCAAGTGTACTTTGCCATGGTGTAATGAACTAACTTAGGGGAGGATATTATGGGTAGTTTAGTATGTTAAATAGTCATCAAATGTAGTATGGGCAATTTGGGAAGTTTAGTATTACTAGGTTTGTAGTTTTTTAACCTTTGTATAAATAGAGAGAGGGAAGAAGAACAAGGTAGACAGAAATTTGGTGTAAACCTTTTGGAGAGTTGTGGCCTAAAGCCATTATTGGAGAGTTGTGAGCTAAGCTCGCTATCTAAGATTGATACCTTAAGCTATTAATTATCTTTTGTAACCCTTCCAACATTATCAATCTAAAAGCTTTCTTCATTATTGATTTGCTAGTTAAAATCAGAAAACATTGTTGTTACATTGACTTTGTTGTGTGATCGAACTCAATCCCTTACACTTGGTATCACAGCCCATAACCCAGCCCTTCAAAACCCACAACTACCAGTATTCAACCTTTGAGCCCATAACCCACTTGGTGTGACCGAACTCAGTACCCTTACACATGGCATCCAATCCCACATTTTTTTCCTAATAACTGCAACAATACCAATACAAACTTATCCAAGGATTTTGATGATACTAGCCCAGCAAGTATGCAAAATCACTTTTTACAATGGGGGTCATCAAAACCATTTTTTTTAAGGGGAAAGTAATCATAACCATGTTGGGGAGCTTTGCTATAACAATGTTGGGAATGTGTGAGGTGTGACAATGCATGATAGCATTTTTTGTCAGCAAACAACTTTAAAATCCTTTAACAGGAATTAAACAGCTAATAGGTTATGTAACTTGTAGTAAGAAGAATTCTCGCAAATGAATATAGAATATGAGTTTAAATGTACATGTACCTCTATAGATCTCCAAAAATGGAGATCGCTAGGTTGTGAACATGCTATCTTGAAGGAGACAGATGCCGAGACCTTTGAACTTCAGTATATTACCAAACAGGAGAAAACCTTTCATCCGCCAAAATTGACCAAATCAAATTCCGCCATGCTCCAAAATGGATTAATGTAGAATAAATAGTAGATACTGCAGCCTTTCAGATAATGTCACCGTTCAGCATCATACTTGCAAAAGGCAGTCTCAACTCCCAATCATAACAGGGTACAAATAGCAAACACCTTCCCAACCTTAGAAAGCAAGCAACTTGAAAAGATGCCTCTATGTGACCCATACATATCAAGATACACTCTTAGTCTCTTACTGATTCACCTATTCACATATCTAAGAATTTTCATATCATTCTGTTTGCAATAATCAAGAAAGGAACCACAGTGTGCATTTGTCGGCTCAAGGCGACAAATTGATCACATCTAACTGGCTATTTTGGGACATTGGGCCAGAAGAGGCAGGCTTCAGTCTTTTCAAAAGTAACAATGCATCTGATGCAGGACAATTTTGGTTCATCTCAAGAGCAATCGGGTACGTAGAAGTCTCATTCATCTCCACAAGCATCGTACCCTGAAAGAGAGAAAAAATGAGTTAACAATTGCTCTTTCTTCTATTGAGATAGCTACTAAAGGAAGGGGGTGGGAGGGGGCCAGGGAAGTGGGAAGCCAAGATATGACTATCATCCCTTTCCAGGGAAAACAACTATGATTAAACATCCTAAAAACCACCGCATAAATGCAAAAGCTAAGAGGAAAAGTGAATTCTAAAAGAGCTTGCCTCAAAATTCATTAAGAATAATTGAAATTGATTCAATTTGCTCTTCAGGTCTCCTACTACTTTCTCATTTGAGGAGGAAAGAGCAGCATTCACCTCTTCAGGTGAATAACCTATCGCTTTCTGCACAACCTGATAAAAGACAATGATACTACAATTCAGTGTGTCCCAAATTTCACATATAAGTGCATAACAGAAGCAAGCCAACAACTCAACTCACATTATGGTGAATAAAGATTTCAGATATAAGGCTCCCATCTTCAACATAAACTTGAAGCTCAAACGTAGATCGCCCCTTGTACCGAAATCTATTCACACCAGTCAAAATGCACTGCAAAATTTAATATTAGAGATCACAATTAATAACATGTGCCCAAATAGTGCATGGTCGAAGTCACACATATAAATTCATACTTCTAAATAGAATTTTATCTAGATATAAGAACACATCAGAGGATCAAAAAAATTGTATAAGAATGAAGATAAGTATCGACCAAACCTTAGTTTCAACATTTTTACATTGTAGGCTATCTACACTTATGAATAACAACTGAATTTAACAAAAAAAAAAGGTCATGGTAGAGTCAAGGAATGGAGAGAGAATCTGCTAGGAAATACATCAAGTTCAACAATGACGAAGTGGACATACTTATTTGCAAAAGAATTACATCATAATATCTTAGCAATATGATACATCTATTGTCAATTATGCATTTGAAGAGCCTATAGAAATTAGAAACATCCAAAATCCAAACACATACCTTGATCTTCCCTCGGACAGAAGGCTGGTTACCCTGCACAGCAGCCCATTTTGCTGACAGACTTGCCAAATATATGAAAGGTAATTCCTTCTCTCCGCTTAATATAAATGGGTGCTCCATATAATCAAGCAAGAGAGCATCTTCATTTTCAATGGCAATGGCAGAAACTGGATTGATCCCAGTAGATTGTCTAGCAGGAGGTTGCTCAGAACCTTCGGCTGCTGTAGGAAACTTCTGAGCATTTATAGTGATAGAACAATGCGCAGTCTCTCGGCTAATAAGATGCTCAGAAGATACCCTACTATTAAATGGTTCAGTAGTTTCCCTACTTGAAGGAAGCACACCAGCTTCGACACTGTTATAACGTTGAGCAGTTTCTCTACTGATGTAAACTTGAGCAGAGTCTCTACTTAGAGAATGTTGGTCAGATCTTTCTGATGGAAGCTCAGTAACAGTTCTGCCTGCCAGAGGGACTTGCCTAATCCTACTGCTTGGATCAACACCTGCCACAAAAGAGCAAAATCATACTTTATACGTGATTTCATATGCAATTGTGAGCACACATTTTTCCTTAAATATTGAATGAGAGAGCAAAAAAAAACTACTGTGTTAAACAACTTCGAAATCTTTTTGGAAAACCAACAAATAGGTATATTAAACTAAAAATTCATACATCTAGCTAGCAACACAACTGCTACTGAAAACATCTCTCTATATGCATCATAACATAAAATAAACTTTATGAAAGTTATAAGTCAATAGATTAAAAGACCTTACACAAGCAACTTACTCGAGATCTAACCATGCATGCATCATCTAGATTTGAGTACAAAATGAGCAATCTCTAAAAGTTCAGCCACAAAATCAAAGAAAACAGAAACCAACAATACACTCACCAGTAAAGGATCCAACATTTAATAGATAGCATTAACAAACAGCATTTTTTATTTAAAATAAAAAAATAATAATAATAAAAAAAAAAAAAAAAAAATTCTATTAAAACTGACAAACTGAGGTTTTGAATAATAGACAGCAAACTGAATTTATGTTCACTTAAAAATATATATACTACCTCTTATCTACCTTTTTTTTTATGCACGCTTACCAATGCACCACTTTGATCAAGTATATCAACAGTTGCATATTACTGTAATAAAGATACATATGTTCAATACAAATATTGAATTGCTAAACACCGCAAACAAAAATGATCACCACCGCCAACATTTGGTGTGAATGGACAATCATACCCTTACTACTTCACCATCCCTTCATCCTTCCGGCAACCCACAACCCCTTCCAACCGGCGATCACAACCCCTTTTGACCGATGACCCACCACACCCCCCTCTATGACAACCCACCACCTTCCCTGTCGGCGTGAAGGTGGTGGTTTTTTTTATTTTAGGCAACCGTGGTAACCGGTTACCGTGCACCTTAATCGATTCTATGGTAACCGGAGCCCAAAACCGGTTACCATGCACGGTAACCGGTTTTGGGCTCCGTTTACCATACACGGTAATTGATTTTGGGCTTTGGTTACCGCGATTGCCTGAAAATCTGAAATTAAAAAATAAATAAAAAAAGGAGGGAAGGTGGTGGGTCACTAGTGCGGTGGTGATCGTCGCCGGTTAGTGTGGTGGGGGTGGTGGTGGTGGTGGTGTTAGTCGTCAATTAGGGTGGTGGTGTCAAGGTGTTAGTGATTGATGGCAAGAGGGAAGATAGTAGTGAAGTACTAAGGACATGATTGTCCATTCACACTAAATGTTGGCGGTTTTGATAATTTTGGATGGCGGTATTTAACACCCCCCTACAAATAAAGTATTCAATCAAATAATACCCTTTATGACTAGGATATGCTATATACATTAAGAGTAATTTAGAAATTTCTGAATAGTGCCAAGAATCCAAATGGGAAGAACAAAAAAGGACCGGAAGTACAAGTCCTAAGAATTTATGTTATTATGATAGATACTCAAAGTTACAAGTTTGCCCTTGCCCAACCCACTTCTTTATATTCATTTCTCTCATTTCTAATCACATGCGGTTTTTGGTCTAAAATTCTCCCTTTTTATCATTTTAAATTAGTAATAGGCCATCCACTAGGAAATGCAATAATTAAATTAAAAAAAAAAAAGGAAGTAGTGATAAACATGGGCAGCGGGTCGGGCCGTGCCGCGATGGGGGGCGTGCCATAACGGCTCCGCGGTGGGCCGCGCCGTGCCTTGCCTAATTTTGGCACACCCCAGCCCACGGCACGGCCCACGTGCCTGGCGGGTCGTGTCGTGCCGAACCACGGGCCAAACCGTGCCACTTTTTGTTTTTTTGTTTTTTTTATAATAATAAATGTAAACAGAAAACGATATAAATATTTTTAAGTACAACTTAATTTTATATAAATATTGTGATTAATTTAAGTTTATGTTAATATATTTTGTTTTGAACAACTTTATTTTAATTAAGGTTATATAAATTATTTATTTAATTACGTTTAAGTTTATATAAACAAATAAAAACAATTTTATTAATTTAGCAAAAAACAACAATGCATATAATAAAAAAAAATGACGAGTGCGATAATCCGAAAACACAAAAAATTGAAGAATAACTTATTTTATTATATGCCGGTAGCCGGTACGATAAATCGATAATACAAATAATTTATAATAATTAAAAAACGTACAATAGTTTGTGAATAACTTTATTTATTATACGGAATACGAGGTTCGATAATACAAAAATTGTACAATAGTGTATAATGTAAATATGTAATAATGTAATTATTATTCGTCTTCGTCTTCTTGTGGTTCAAGTTCATCGGCCAATTGAGTTGATTGAGAAGTATGAAAGCTAAAAGAAGTCAACGACCTTCATCGTCGTCTTTTTGTGCATTAGTACGATCTTGAGAACGAGTTTCGGCATCCAACCAATCCTTGTAGCAAACACACATTTCAAGAGTGTTTCGGATTTTAGTCTTGTTCTTCTATCGTCTAAAACCCGTGCCGACGCACTAAAAGCTCTTTCGGAGGCAACGGAGGAGACTTGGATAGCAAAAATATCACGAGCCATTGCCGACAAAATTGGATGTTTCATGGTTTGTGATTTCCACCAATCAAGGATGTCGAGACCAAACTTCTCTTCATCGTCCATGCCTTTCATGAAGTCGTAACTTAGGTACAATTGCAACTCCGAAACATCGCTTTGTGTTCTCCTAGTTGATGGTGATTTCGTACCTGAAAATTTGGACATCATGTTAGCAGCTTGTGCAAATAAACCTTTAGCCCGTTTACTTACGTTTTTGGATGTTTGAGAAAGGGCAAATCGAGACACAGTTCCATATTTACTTTCATAAACTCTATAGAAAGAGAAACTCATTAGTCACCTTATTTTTAAAAGTTTCAACATCATCTTCAAAATTCATGTTACTATTATAAATATCAATTAATAAAAAAGTGCCATCGTATTTTTGCCTAAGATCTAAAATAGAAGCAAAAATATAAATCATAGGAATATTAGTGTACTATTTACGCCATTTTTCCTCCATTATTGGAAGATATCAATGATAATCATGTTCTGATTGGTGTTTGGCAAAAAGTTGTGCAAGTAAACAAGCATTGCTTAGAAAAGAATGGGAACAAAGATTATATATAGAAGAAAAACAATGTGTCATACTATATAGTAATTGTAAAAACTGCATATATTTTTCACAATTAGCCCAATCATCTTCTAGTAAAGCACATTGTGCAAATTTCATATTATGACTCAATATTTCATAGGTGGAGCTCCACCTAGTTGGACAATCCGGTGCTATTAGTATAGTCTTTATCCTTTGTTGCCCGCAAAAACCTTTCCATTCTTGATATCTCAAGTTAGAGCTATTAATAGACATAATAGCATTCCTTATTTTGTGATAAAATGGACCAATTGCTTGTGTTCCATCCTTCACACACAAGTTAAGAACATGACAAATGCATCTAACATGAACTTCATCTCCATCTAATATTACATCGGTCAATTGGGGTTTAGCCAAATTCGCACTATATGTCATGTAAGTTGCATTATCGAAAGTCATATACATGATTTTATCCTTAAGACTATATGCATCAATGACTTCCATTAAACGTATGAGGATATTCAAGCATTTTAAAATGAATAATGCGCTTTTGTAACAACCAATCATTATCCAACCAATGATAAGTAACACACAAATAGTGAAGTCTGTATCCACTATCCCATGTGTCGGCAGTTAAAGAAGCTCTACTAGGAAGATTACCCAATTCCTTTAATAATTTCAATTTATACTCTTGATAATTCTTCATGGCAGCAGATCGAGCGGTTTTTCGAGTGTTTGGGTTGTAGTGCTCGGTGAATGTAGTTGTTAAAGGCGTCATTTTCAGCGAAAATAAAAGGTTGTTCGGCATGTACAATCATTCTCCCAAGTTCATCTCTATCTCTCTCATAACTGTAAATGAAGCCTTGTGGATGGAATTGTGAAATTTTGGATTGAGTTGGGTTGGATCATTAGATGGTCCACCACATCTTTTTGAATGTCTAATAAGGTGTCCCGTCCCTCCCTTGGTATCGGCCGAGAAAATTTTACAACAAGTCCGACACCGGACTTTGGTTTCATTTTTACTCAATTGATAATGTGCCCAAACTTCACTATTTCGGTTGCTTTGAGCAAATTCCTCTTCAGTACACCATTCTAATATATTAGGATTTTGGGTGTTAGGCATTTGTATGGATTGTTCACTCGACTCGGAGGCTTGTGTTTGGCTGCCTTGGCCTTGGGTATTAGGAAGAAAAAATTCATGTTGTGATCCATATAAATAAGGTGAGAATTGAGTTTGTTGAAATCCCGAACTAGGCATAGTCCAAGGAGCCATATCATCCATTTGTTCGTGCCCTCCCGTGGTTTGGGGATGAAAGAAAGGGGTAAAAGTAAAGGTGGGCACGGGCCCGGCACGACGCCGGCACGGCACGGCACGGCGACCCACCTGTGGGCCGTGCCGTGAACACAAATTCCAAATTTAACACGGGCAGGGCGGGGGCACGGCGGGCATCACGGTGGCCGGCACAACACGACACGAGGCCCGCCAGGCACGGCTAGTTATAGGGATTTTGGGTGGGAAAAATGGGCAAAAACTAGCCGTTTAAGAGCTATTGGAAAACGGCTAGTTCGCAAGGGCCATGCCAGGCCGGGCCGTGCATGGCGGGACTCGTGTTGTGCCACGTTGTGCCTCGCTGTTCCACGTGTCATGCCGGCGAGCCGGCCACCGTGCCACCCGTCGTGCCCCATGCCGAATCTGGAATTTGTGTTCACGGCACGGCCCATTGCCCGCAGGTGCTCCGCCGTGCTAGTGTCGTGTCGGGCCCGTGCCACCCACGACCCGTGCCCACCTTTACTTCAACCCCTTTCTTTCATCCCCAAACCACGGGAGGGCACGAACAAATGGATGATATAGCTCCTTGGACTATGCCTAGTTCGAGATTTCAACAAACTCAATTCTCACCTCATTTATACGGATCACAACATGAATTTTCTATTCCTAATACCTAAGGCCAAGGTAGCCAAACACAAGCCTCCGGGTCGAGTGAACAATCCATACAAATGCTTAACACCCAAAATCCTAACATATTAAAGTGGTGTACCGAAGAGGAATTTGCTCAAAGCAACCGAAAGAGTGAAGTTTGGGCACATTATCAATTAAGTAAAAATGGAACCAAAGCCCGGTGTCGGACTTGTTGTAAAATTTTCTCGGCCGATACCAAGGGAGGGACAGGACACCTTAGTAGACATTCAAAAAGATATGGTGGACCATCTAATGATCCAACCCAACCCAATCCAAACTTTCACAATTCCATCCACAAGGCTTCATTTACAGTTATGAGAGATAAATATGAACTTGGGAGAATGATTGTACATGCCGAACAACATTTTATTTTCGCCGAAAAAGATGCCTTTAACAACTACATTAACCGAGCACTACAACCCAAACTCTCGAAAACCGTTCGATCTGCTGCCACGAAAAATTATCAAGAGTATAAATTGAAAATATTAAAGGAAATGGGTAATCTTCCTAGTATAGCTTCTTTAACTGCCGACGCATGGGATAGTGGATACGGACTTCACTATTTATGTGTTACTTGTCATTGGTTGGATAATGATTGGTTGTTACAAAAGCGCATTATTCATTTTAAAATGCTTGAATATCCTCATACGTTTAATGGAAGTCATTGATGCATATAGTCTTAAGGATAAAATCATGTATATGACTTTCGATAATGCAACTTACATGACATATAGTGCGAATTTGGCTAAACCCCAATTGACCGATGTAATATTAGATGGAGATGAAGTTCATGTTAGATGCATTTGTCATGTTCTTAACTTGTGTGTGAAGGATGGAACACAAGCAATTGGTCCATTTTATCACAAAATAAGGAATGCTATTATGTCTATTAATAGCTCTAACTTGAGATATCAAGAATGGAAAGGTTTTTGCGGGCAACAAAGGATAAAGACTATACTAATAGCACCGGATTGTCCAACTAGGTGGAGCTCCACCTATGAAATATTGAGTCATAATATGAAATTTGCACAATGTGCTTTACTAGAAGATGATTGGGCTAATTGTGAAAAATATATGCAGTTTTTACAATTACTATATAGTATGACACATTGTTTTTCTTCTATATATAATCTTTGTTCCCATTCTTTTCTAAGCAATGCTTGTTTACTTGCACAACTTTTTGCCAAACACCAATCAGAACATGATTATCATTGATATCTTCCAATAATGGAGGAAAAATGGCGTAAATAGTACACTAATATTCCTATGATTTATATTTTTGCTTCTATTTTAGATCTTAGGCAAAAATACGATGGCACTTTTTTATTAATTGATATTTATAATAGTAACATGAATTTTGAAGATGATGTTGAAACTTTTAAAAATAAGGTGACTAATGAGTTTCTCTTTCTATAGAGTTTATGAAAGTAAATATGGAACTGTGTCTCGATTTGCCCTTTCTCAAACATCCAAAAACGTAAGTAAACGGGCTAAAGGTTTATTTGCACAAGCTGCTAACATGATGTCCAAATTTTCAGGTACGAAATCACCATCAACTAGGAGAACACAAAGCGATGTTTCGGAGTTGCAATTGTACCTAAGTTACGACTTCATGAAAGGCATGGACGATGAAGAGAAGTTTGGTCTCGACATCCTTGATTGGTGGAAATCACAAACCATGAAACATCCAATTTTGTCGGCAATGGCTCGTGATATTTTTGCTATCCAAGTCTCCTCCGTTGCCTCCGAAAGAGCTTTTAGTGCGTCGGCACGGGTTTTAGACGATAGAAGAACAAGACTAAAATCCGAAACACTCTTGAAATGTGTGTTTGCTACAAGGATTGGTTGGATGCCGAAACTCGTTCTCAAGATCGTACTAATGCACAAAAAGACGACGATGAAGGTCGTTGACTTCTTTTAGCTTTCATACTTCTCAATCAACTCAATTGGCCGATGAACTTGAACCACAAGAAGACGAAGACAAATAATAATTACATTATTACATATTTACATTATACACTATTGTACAATTTTTGTATTATCGAACCTCGTATTCCGTATAATAAATAAAGTTATTCACAAAATATTGTACGATTTTTAATTATTATAAATTATTTGTAATATCGATTTATCGTACCGGCTACCGGCATATAATAAAATAAGTTATTCTTCGATTTTTTGTGTTTTCGTATTATCGCACTCGTCGTTTTTTTATTATTATTATATGCATTGTTGTTTTTTGCTAAATTAATAAAATTATTTTTATTTGTTTATATAAACTTTAACAAAATTAGATAAATAATTTATATAACCTTAATTAAAATAAAGTTGTTCAAAACAAAATATATTAACATTAACATAAACATAAATTAATCACATTATTTATATAAAATTAAGTTGTACTAAAAAAATATATATATCATTTTTTATTAACATTTATTATTATAAAAAAGAAACAAAAAAACAAAAAGTGGCACGGTTTGGCCCGCAGCCCGGCACGGCCTTCCAGGCAAGTGGGCCGTGCCGTGTCGTGGGTTGGGGTATGCCAAAATTAGGCACGGCACGCCCCCCACCGCGGCACGGCCCGCGGCAGCACGGTTCGGCCCGTTGCCCATGTTTAGGTGAAAGTGTTTGGAAAGGGCAAGTTAGAGGAGTGAAAGGGCATGTTAGGGGAGGGAAAGGTGTTAGGGGGGCATTGAAGTGTTTAGGTTTGGTGATTCCCTACGTTTTGACTTGGCTTTTCTAGAGGAGAAAGTGTTCGAGTTTGATGCCATGATATTTAATAATAATAACAACAACAATGTCAACAATAATAATACAAATAACAATAACAAATTAACAATAACAATAATAATAACAATTAACAGCAATAATAATAACAATAGCGATAAGAATTAGTAAGTAGTTTTTATATAAATTAAGTTTTCAAAAATAATTATAATAATAGTAGATTATTTAGATCAATGAGATCCCAGGTAGGAGAGGTTAGGAACGACGTTGTCCTGAGCCCAAGTCCCGCCTTAGAGAGATTTAACTAACAATCTAAATTTTCCACAATAAAAATAGAAAATACAACAACAATAATAATAACTATAACAAATTAAAATAAAATTGAGTTAGATCTTACAATGACGCTTCAATTGCTTTCCCAAACTTAAAATTTCTCAAACTTATAATTTCCAGAGTGTAAATATAAGATTTTTTTTTTTTGTAGTAGACTAATAATAGTAAAAATGTAAATTTATAAGAGAGTAGGAATTTTTTTTTTCTTTAGACAAAAGAGAAAGAGTAAGATTGTAGGAATTAGAGAATAAGAGAGAAGAGATGAGTTTATGAATTGTGAAAATTTTGGAGAAAGAAATGGGGTATTTAATTATTTATAGGGATTTTGGGTGGGAAAAATGGACAAAAACTAGCCGTTATAACTAGCTGTTTTAGAGCTGTTAGAAAACGGCTAGTTGGCACGTGCCGGGCGGGCCTCGTGTCGTGTCGTGCCCGGCTGTGCCACGTGGCGGGCCGGCGAGGCGTGCCGGCCACCGTGCTGCCCGTCGTGCCTCGTGCCGTGCCCGTGCCAAATCTAGAATTTGTGTTCACGGCACGGCCCACAGGTGTGCCGCCGTGCCGTGTCATGCCGAACCCGTGCCGGCACAGCCCATGCCCACCTTTAAGTAGTGAATACATAAACACAATTCATAGAGAACAAAAGGTGAATGTGGAAGAGTACATTAATCATACAAAACAACAATAGATATGAAACAGCCCAAACAAATTAGGACAGCAATTTCGAAACAAATTGGAAAGATCTATGTCCTCCCAATCAAACCATCAAAATAATAAACGAAGCTATAGCTTAGTAGCTTACCCAAGGTATTTCCACGAAACTGAGTTGCAGCATGTAGCATAGAAGTTGTGGTGTTCCCTGAGACATGATTAGCATCATCCAATGGCATGGCTTCATTACTAACATCATTTTGTGGCCAAGCAGCACGAGTTGCTCTCGCCGACAATGGAGGAACAATACCATTTCTTGTTCTGGATACATTTAATTTAAGAGGAAGACACAATAAATAAGTAAAATTATATCTCAAACTTCAACACTGCTCACCAACTTGCTTCTGTGCTAGCAAAAAAGTAGGATAATACCCATTCTAAACACATGTCAACATAAGAAAATAGAATTTTTAACATAACAGATGATAAGAAATGTGTCAACTATAATTATTCTAAGCATGTTTACGTTGAAGATCACTTCATAAATTATAACTATGTTTATTTTTTACAACCTTCTTTCCTAGCACATCAAACAAAAGGAAATTAAACATTTATTTATGTGCTATTAATGTCCAGAAATATAAAGAAACACTTTGTACTTAACTCAATTATTGAAGAACTTAAAACTCAAACAAATCAACTGAAGACATGACTCAAATATCAACCTAATTCGAAGCAAGCATCACACCCAAATACCCAATAAACTTTGAAATAGTACCAGCATTAAAACTTGTGCATTGCAGCAGCTAAAACATAATATGAGTAAACAATACAGATATTGATATAAAGTTGTACAATATAGTTAGATAATAAAAATAAAATTTAAACTAAAAATATAAAAACCTAAAATATTCCAAATTGTAAACGTATTCTCATACTTTAGGAAGATTGTACTCCCTCCATTTGATCTTCCATCACTAGTGCACCATATGGATTCAGTTACACAATATAATAATACTCAAGGCTCTAAACACCCTATTTCCTATCCAAAAAGTACAAAATAAAATTAAAAATAACAATGCTCACTTTCCACTTTCATCTTTCATTATCCATAGCTATAGTAAATAGAAAGGTATTTAGTAGAACAAAAGGAGAATTATCTATAAATTATAAAGAGTCTTGTAACAATTTATTAAATAATTTCACAAAGCTTTACATAGTTTTTTTGTAGTATGTTGTTATATAAGTATATTAAATATAGATCTTATTTTCAAACATATTTCGAGCTGTTTCCATTGGTATAATGATGATGAGATTCTGTAGCAAAAACCTACGTCCTACTGAGTATTATAATAAGCATTGGTCTATGATTGCAAATTAAACTCTTTTTTAGTTTATATATTTAAGCTTATCTATGTATTTTAATCAAACTGATACTCCAGTCATATTGTAATTTTTTTTTATTTTTTAGATTGAAATGACACGCATATATGGCACAATCTATGCTTTCGAAAATTTCTTCGTTTATCTGATTAGATTGGCCAATTACTACAGATTCTAAATTGATATTTCTATCTTATAATACAAAATATTTTCAACATAATGCTACAGCAGCAATAGTCCCAATAGGTTACAAAACTCCAAAGTGCTGATCAACATGAAACTTTTCTTCAGGAATTCATCAAAATGATGCAACTAGTATATCATACGAAGTATGTCAGTCATATACACTGAATTTAATGATAGAAGACATCAAAATCTAACCAAAACCAATAAAACAAATGAAACACAAAAAAAAAAGAGAGACAAGCACAAAATCTTTTCACTTACAAATAAAACATTAACAAAACCATTTGTTTATACCTTTTTCCCCTTGGAGGCTTGTTAACTTCCTGAACGAGCCTCTGCCTGGCTGCCTCAAGCTCTTCAACAGAGCCACCAAGAATTTCCAATACTTCAGGAACCAACATCAGAATCCCACGCCGTACATTCACATCCCGAATGGCAACCTACACAAGAACACCAACTTTGTTTAGCCTGTCAAAATGAAAAACATCAAACAGTTGCCAAAAGAAGCACCATCAGATCCAACAATACTTCACAGAATCATAGACATTAAAATGAGCTTTAAGATGATATATAAGCAGCATTTCGTTTTCGTTTAGAATGTGTCTGACCACATTCTCCAGTGGGTCATGAACAAATATAAGGAATGGATTTGTCACAAGTCCCAAAAAACAAAGATTTGCTTAATAATATGAAGATAGACCAACTTCAGGGGTAAAATGCCAATACAAAAAAAAAAAATCTCATAATACGTAATTATCAAGACATAGAGTTCTGTGACTTCTATCAACTCAATTGTATAAAAACCTCCATAGAACTCCATCTTATTTTGTCTTTTACACACAATATTTTCTTCTATAAAAAGACAAGGAGCCATTTGGGTGGAAAGCAGAACTGCAACATAGAAATTAAAGGTCAGAAATCAAAACAATAGGCTGCCCATGTGGATAAATCTCACCCGCCAATCATAAACTTAGCAAGAAACAAGTCTACAGACCAATCATAACCAGAAGCATTACATATACACAAATATGACAGATACTAAAATGATGATTTGAGGAAAACAAATGCATTAAAGATGGTAGAGCAAGTCAACCTTAAACCCAGCAGGTGCAAGGGCTTCAAGACTTTTGATAGGCCTATACTCCATGCCAAATACACGTTGAACGCCATCGGTCATGGAGAGCTTGAGGCATCTTTTATGCCCTGAAGGTGCATTCTTGTACCTCTCCTTCAGAGGACAACTAATATTGACTACTTCATCAACCTACGAAAAAAAAATCCGAATTGTGTAGTAGTCAGAAGTATTATATAACTCATGACAAGACAACAAGTACAGTGAAACCTCACATTCCCACCCTCCCCCCCAATCACCAATGATACCCTAAATTCTTGGAAAAGATTTGACATTAGCCTTTTTGCTGTATCTTCATTTTCGTAGAGGAGGGGGGTTGGTGAGGCATAAGACAATTTAGTTGGTGTTTTGGTCATCAAAAGCATGCAAATTCCAGCCATCTTCGCATTTATAAAGTGTTTGACTACAACTGATTCTATTTTAAACTTTTGTATCAGATGCGTCAAGGTTTTGATTGATTGATTGATTAGATACATCAACATATATAATACACAAGTTTGCAAAACTTGAGCCATTTTGAATAATTTTGACTATCAAGTCTAGTAATTTTGCTTCTTGAATACTTAACGATGTGTTTAAATAGCGAAGAAGGAAGGAAGGAAAGGAAAGGGAGGGAAAAAAGGAGGAAAGGAAGGGAAAAGAAAGGGAGGGGGAGGTGAGCTCCATCTTCCCTCCAAATCTCTTCAGTTTTGGAGATATTACGGTTATTAGAGCGAGGAAAAATGGATTTCTCCCTCTCCTTCCCCTTCCTTCCCCTAATCCTTTTACCCAAAAAAAGAATTTGTCTCCCTCCTTTTATCTTTTCTTCTTTTCTTTTCATTTCTTTCTATCCAAACAAAGTGTAAATGAATACCCCCTAGAGACCAATGATAATGTAATTTATTTCATTGATCAAATGCTATCAATAACAATTCAAAAAAATAACATATACCATCTTTTACTCAATAATTATACTAGTATTTCTTTTGTACTAAATGATACACATAATTGCTTTTTTTTTTTTTTTTTTTGACGAAAACATAATTAGCTTGCTAAATTTTAAGCTTTATAAACTTCTAAGGACTGCTAAATCGCCACTTCAAACTTAAAAATGAAGTTCATAATTCACAAGTTATCAGCAACAAAATATCATCAAGCTTTCTAGTATAATCTTAAAAGCCCTAAATCAAAAATAAAATATAAAATCTTAAAAGCCCTAAATCAAAAATAAAATATAAAATCTATAAGCCAAATTAGACCAAAAAAATTAACTTTGAAAAAATCATTACCTGCAGAACAAAAGGGCCAGTAAGATCAACAAGATGCAAATCCTTCACATTTTCAGGAAGAATTCCAGCACCAGAATAATTCATATCCGAGTTCAAAATCTGCCCAAAACAAAGCTTAGCCTTAATTTCAACATCAAAATTTACGAAACCCGGGACAGTATTCTGAAGGCCTAATTTACAAGAATCAAGCCATTCTCTCCTCAAATTCACCCCCATTCTCCTCAATTGATCATTAACCGGACAACCCGAAGCGGCGAAAGAAGCAGTAACCACCGGCGGAGGAGAGAGATTATCAGAAACATCCATAAAATCTTCACCGGAAACCTGAAGTGACGGATGTTCGGAGACGGCGGTGGTAGCGGCGGTTGTAGAGGTGGTGGTGGTGGTGGAATTTAGGGTTACAGAATTGATATTAGGGATAGGGTCTGGAGATGGAGTTTCAATGTCATCTTCCTCCGTCATTCGTTCGTTGACATGTTGTTGTGGCGGTTGTTGTTGTTGTTGCGGTGGTTGAGGATGGTTAGGGTTTTCGTGTAACGGAGGTTGTTGTGGAACATCTTCGTCTTCGTCGGAGGTGTAGACGGTACGAAGTCGCCTTCTAGACATTGAATTGAACTTCGAAGTGCAGTGAACAGAGAAGGGAGAGAGGAGAGGGAGTAGGATTTCAGAAATGAAAAGGCAAATAATTTTCCCTCCAAATGGAAAGAGGACAATAGTAGTACGAGTATATCATATAAGAGCATGAATATTGGAGAGGATGGTTTTATCCTCTCTTTCATTCTCTCTCCTTACCCTATTTTTACACCTCATACTCTCTTTCTTCCACCTCATTTTTCACTATCTCTTTCCTCTCTTCCATCCTCTTCCATTTATTTTTTCCACATCAAAGGGTATCCTCTCAGAGCATCTTTAAGGGTGAACATTTTAATATTTCACAATAAGTGAACAAATAAGGTGGTGGCTTAATGGCAAACTCTTTAATTGTTCATGTTGAGTGGTCATGGGTTCGATTGCAGGAGCAAGCACTTGCATGAATTAATTCACTGTGGGCCCCACCAATATTTTGGACTGATATTCATGCAAAACGACGTCGTTTTGCTGTTAAAGGTCAGAAAAAAAATAGAAATCAGCGGCTGGGAGCGCGCCACTTGGCCCAGCCGCTGCTTGACACGTGTGTACTGTTTTAAATATATCCGTTGTAATCGACTCTATTTTTTTTCCCCTCTATAAATAGACACCCATATTGATATACTTTTTTCAACTTTGAAAATTCATTTTTTTCTACTATATTTTTCTCTTCAAAAATCCCCTCTATAATTACCAATATTATTATTATTTATACCAATATTAATATTATTATTGTTATTATTATTTTTAATTATTATCATTAATATTATTATTATCGTTACTATTATTTTTATTATTATCGTTATTATTATTATTATTATTATTATTATTATTATTATTATTATTATTATCGTTATTATTATTATTATCGTTATTATTATTATTATTATTATTATCGTTATTATTATTATTATTATTATCGTTATTATTATTTTTATTATTATTGTTATTATTATTATTATTATTAAATTTTTATTTTTTTCAAATATAAATTATAATTATGGATGCTAATACCAACCCCAAAACAAATAGAAAGAAGAAAAAAAATTTGGGTCAAAATATGATCCCGAATAGCAACTATCTCGTCTAGAACAGAAAGTAAACCGAGAACAGTGGGAAGACGAAATGATAGTAATACTTCGGAACAATATTCAACGTTTCAATAATGATGCTTAGTGTCCTTTATTTTTATTGTAGTTAAGTGTGTTCAATTCCTTTATTGTTCTTCAATCAGTAGTGATAAGTTTTCAATTCCAGTTCAACCTCTTGTACTCATTTCCTTATGTTTGTACTTTATCAATTAATCAGTAAAATGGATCTTTTCCACTTTCCCATTTTCATAGCCCATGTGATCTTATTCTGTTTATTCAATTATATCAATTTGTCTCTTTATATATAATCGTGTCAGTATCTTAATTTCCCCTTTGTTAGCCCATGTGAAACCCTTCTTCTCCATTCAATTTCTGTGTGGTTCTAATCCAGTGTTGGTCATAGCCCATGTGAAACCCTTCTTCTCCATTCAATTTCTGTGTGGTTGTAATTCATTGTTTGTCATAGCCCATGTGATCTTTGTCTCTTTATATTCAGTTATTTCTGAAGAAGAATTACAAATTAGTTCACTATAAATAAACACCATTCTTTCATTTTTTTTACACACAAACACATAAATCGTTTGCAGTTACTATTAGCAAACCTCACTCTATCTTACATTTCTTACGTACAAAATGAATTCAAACAGTTTAAACGAAAGCTCAACCGATTCCTCTTCATCTTCATCTAACTCGGATGATGAGGGAAGGGAGCTTAGAGTTCAACAACGTAATGAAGTGTGTCTTATGATACAACACGTAATGCATGAGTACATTCCACCAATTATTCAAGCTGCCACTCAGCAACGCCGACGCAAATCTACTGAGCCCCGAAAGGATAGGGGACGCGAAGAAGGTCATGCACGGTTATACAATGACTATTTCGCGGAAGTCCCAGTTTATCCAAGTTCCTTGTTCCGGCGCCGGTTTCGAATGCGTAAACATGTGTTTGAGCGCCTTCTCAACGCAGTGACCCAACATGACCCCTGGTTTCAACAAAGGCGAGATGCGGCAGGTCGTCTTGGTTTGTCTCCACTTCAAAAGTGCACTGCGGCCGTTAGACAACTAGCTTACGGGTGTGCTTCAGACGCTTGTGATGAGTATGTCCGTATAAGTGAGGCAACTTCACGATTGGCACTCCAAAAGTTTACAGAAGGTGTCATCAACCTGTTCGGTGATCAGTACCTACGTCGTCCAAACATCGCAGATATGGAAAGATTGCTACGTATTGGGGAAGAACGTGGATTTCCTGGCATGATAGGCAGCATTGATTGTATGCACTGGGAGTGGAAGAACTGTCCACACGCATGGAAGGGGCAGTATCAAGGAAGAGAAGGAGTTGCAACTCTCGTACTAGAGGCAGTTGCGGACAGAGATCTATGGATATGGCATTCGTTCTTTGGGATGCCAGATAGCTGCAACGATATTAATGTGCTTCATCGATCCCCTGTGTTCGAAGACGTCTTAGAGGGTCGAACACCTCCTGTGAACTTCGTAGTCAATGGTCATCATTATACGAATGGGTATTATCTTACTGATGGAATCTACCCTAGATGGGCTTCTTTTGTGAAATCCATTACGAGACCACAAACTCGTCAGGATCGTTTATTCGCAAAACACCAGGAAGCTGCAAGGAAAGACGTTGAACGCGCATTTGGGGTCCTTCAAGCTCGTTTTGCCATTATTAAAAATCCGTCTTTGGCGTGGGATACCGACATACTCCACAATATCATGCTCGCCTGCATCATAATACATAATATGATCGTTGAAGATGAACGAGAGACGTATCAAAATAACGTTAATACCAATGAGTTTATGAATGCTGGAGGCAACGCTAATGAGGACACTACCGAGTACCGTACTGATCGTATTGTGGATATCGGCTTATACTTGTATCGTAGAACAGAGATTGAGGATCAACAGACTCATTTGCAGCTAAAAAACGACTTGGTCGAACATATATGGAATAAATTTGGTAACAACGAAAACTTAGGCAACTAGGTTTACAACAAATGGTTATCCCTAAGGACATCTTACAAAACGATGTGTAGTTGTTTTTTATTTTAAAATAAAATGTACTAGATTATAGTTGTAGAACTGTAATCACGATTTGTACCTCTTTTTTTTTTTGTTAATTAAAATTAGCTGCGTTGTTGTTTAAAAAATATTAATCACAAGAATTATTTTTTTAAAAAACTGATAAAAAAATGCGATAATTTCTTAATTAGTAATCACGATTAAAATATTAAATACGTCAATTAATTACATTGACATCGGGTTAATAAATTATAATTATGAAACAAAAAAGATTATATTTACAAAAATAAAATAAGGTGGGGTAGGGAGTATTGATGATGAACCATTATTTAGTGTTCATTGTTAAGAGTGAATATTGTAAATGGTTTGTTGGGTTGATGTGGATGAGAGAGAAAGGGTGATAGTGACCCATGAACCATTTTTTTGTGTTCACCAATAATGATGCTCTCAATATATTTTATGGATATTTCACCAAATGCCACTGACAAATTTAAAAATTCATCAAATGTCATCGCACTTTTCAGAATTCACCAAATGCCACTCAGTTTTTTAAAAATTCACTGAGTGTCATTAATCACCAACGGCCGTTAACTCCGTTAGTCATTAGGGGTTATCATGACACATGTCATGATATTATTGGTCCATTTATCTTTATTAATAAAAATTAAAAAAAAAAGCTGAAAATAATTAGAAAATAATTATAAAAAAAACAGAAAATTAAAATAAAATAAAAAACCCCAAAATTTTCCCAGCCACCCCTACCACCGCCAAACCCTAGCCCCTCCCCTTATATCGCCGGAAAACGGCCGGCCACCACCTTAACCACCGAAAATCGACCGACCGACCCTTTTGCGCCCCACCTAACCCACCGTCGACCCCAAAAACCACCCACACAAACTTCCCCGACCCTGTAAAATCTAAAATTAACCCTAGACCCTAGCCCCACCGTGACCTCAACCACCTCGCCACCCCTACCACCAGCCAGACGAGGCCCAGAGCAGCCAGATTTGCCGCGCCGTTCTCCAACTCGGAGCTGCTTTCCAACCCTCCCCTATCCGTTTACCCACCATAACCATTAACGAAATCAAGGTTGTGAAGAGGAGGAGGGCCAAAATCGCCAAGTTAGAAGGGATAAGGGTCGAAATCGGAGCGTGGGGAAGGGGAGGTAGCCGGAAAAGGGATTGGGGAAGGGAAGGGGGCTGGGATCGGGACAGAGAAAGGATTTTGAGGGTTGAGGACTGGGTTTTGTGGCGGTGGGGAGGGAGTTTCGTGCTTGTGGGGAGGGAGTTTCGTGGGAGGGGGAGGAACGACGTCGGCACTGCGAGGGATCTTCTAGGTGGTCGGCGCTGCGGGAGAGCTTCTTGGGCGGCGTCGGTGCTGTGGGACAACAGAATCCAGTAGCTGGGACGGCGGGAACGGTGGCGAGGAGGGTGGTTGTGGCTGATGGGGGTTTTGGCTGGTCGGGGTTTTTGAAATAATTTTGGGGTTTTTTTTTTTTTTTAATTTTCTGATTTTTTTTTTATATTTTCAGTTTTTTTTTTTAAATTTTTATTAATAAAGATAAATGGACCAATAATATCATGACATGTGTCATGATAACCCTTAATGACTAACGGAGTTAACGGCCGTTGGTCATTAATGGCACTCGGTGAATTTTTAAAAAACTGAGTGGCATTTGGTGAATTCAGAAAAGTGCGATGGCATTTGATGAATTTTTAAATTTGTCAGTGGCATTTGGTGAAATATCCGTATATTTTATATATAAATATGGCTCCACCTTATTATTATTGATTATTTGTTATTGATTTCTTTAATGATAAAATCTAATAATAATAATAATAACATTAATAATAATAATAATAATAATAATAATAATTAGTATTCCATAATTAGCATACATAATAAAAATTACCATACTTTACCAACATTTTGATACAATAACACATGGAGTTAGGAATAAAAACACTAATTGATACACTAAAGTACAACAAATACAAGAAATTAAAGACAAATAACTAAATATCCTCATTTTTCCTTACCGATTACTAGTATGCCCAAATCTTGCCCACAAATGTTCTACCAAATCTTGTTTAAGTGACATATGAGTTTGTTTATCGTGGAGATTTTCTGGTGTAGCCATTAATGTGGTTAGATTAGGATTTTGGTAGCGCGGGGTTACGGTGAAAGTCGTTCCTCTTCGGTTTGAAGTTCCTGCTAAATACTCGAGTTGTTCAGCAGCAAACTCATTAGGATCCCAATAATTAAGATAACTTTCGCGCTCATCTTCCACGATCATATTGTGCATGATAATACACGCCATAACAATTTTCCACAACATTTCGACACTCCATGCCAAAGCAGGACGTCTTATAATGGCAAATCGAGCTTGCAACACTCCAAATGCACGCTCTACATCTTTTCTAATACTCTCTTGTTTGGTAGTAAACAATCGTTGTTTAGGGGTTTGCGGTGCAGTTATTGCATCTATAAATGTTGCCCATTTTGGGTAGATCCCATCTGTGAGATAATACCCCTGATTGTAAGTATTTCCATTCACGGTAAACTGAATTTGTGGAGCATGACCATTTAAAATGTCGTCGAAGACGGGTGAACGTTGAAGGGCATTTATATCGTTGCAGGATCCAGGTGTACCAAAAAAGGCATGCCATATCCACAAATCACAAGATGCAACAGCTTCTAAGATAACCGTCGCCGTTTTTGATCGCCCTTGATACATCCCTTTCCACCCCGCTAGACAATTTTTCCACTCCCAATGCATGCAATCGATACTTCCCAACATACTAGGAAAACCTCTTTCCTCTCCTTCTCTTAGAAGGCGATTCATATCTTCAGGGGTTGGTTTCCTTAAGTACTCTGCTGAGAATTCACGAATCACTCCGTCAACGAAGTGCGTGATACAATGTCTAGCCGTAGTTGCCCCAAGCTTGAGGTACTCGTCAACTTGATCAGCTGCACAGCCATGTGCTAACATCCTTATAGTCGTTGTGCACTTCTGTATTGGAGAAGCGCCCAAACGCATACTGGCATCTGGATGTTGTTGGAAGAATCGATCAGTTTCACTCAGTTGGTTCACTATCTTCGTAAATAGAGGTTTCCGCATGCGAAACCTACGTCGAATCTTATCATCACCATACAATGGTTGTTCGCTGAAATAGTCAGCAATCAACTGATCATGTGCTGCTTCACGATTACGTGGTATAACTTCCCTTCGTTTTCTTTGACGTGGAACATCTTCTTCTTGTTGTTGCATGGTGGTGTTAACCACATATCTCAATGCATCTTCTATGATTTGTTGTTGCCGATTTTCCTCAATAAAATCAAGCAACATGTAGTTATAGATTTCATCACTAGAAGTGGAAGAATTTGAATTACTACTCATTTTAAAATTATTAATATGTAGTTGTAGTTGTGATAGTAGAAGTGTTGTAAGTGAAATAGGTCAATTTATAGGCAATTGAGATAAAAGTTACAAAAAATAATTTGCAATCTGGTAAGATAAGATTTTTACCATAAGATATGATTTTCTAGCTGAAGATAAGATTTTTTAAACAGTGGATAAGATTTTTTAGAAGATAAAATGAGATTTTTTAACAGAGGATAAGATTTTTAGCAGAAGGATAAGATTTTTGGTAGATAAGGTCAGATTTTGTGGCAGATAAGTTTTCATATTTTGGCAGATAAAATGAGATTTTCTTACAGAGGATAAGATTTTTAGCAGAGGGATTTTGGTAGATAAGATATAAAATTACATGTTTTTTTTATTAATAGAAACATAATATTATTACTCCAACACATAAGATTACAACATCTAATATCAAATAAAAATACAAACGATTAAAATTACTACTACGTACGATTACATCTTAAGTACTACAACAAATCTTAAACATAATGTTGTTAGATGAAAGATAAACTCTTGATACAGAAACTAAAAGATTAAATACGTAATACATAAAAAATAACTAGTACTTAACTAATATCTCTAAAAAAAACCTGTTACTAAACTCCTCTCTAAGCTTCTTGTACATTTCGACTTCAAATTCATCGAGGACGGGTTTTGCCATCAACGAACGTAACATGCTAAATTTCATCTCCTCCTCCTTTAGCTTTTTCCTATCTTCGCTCCTTTTACTTATCAAGTCGATCATTCGTTCTCCTTGATCAAGCCGCTTATCACTAGTTTCGTCAAGAGTTGTGTTGAAAGCTTCAAGGTTTATCGATGTAGAAGAATTACTACCTTCTGCAGCTAAACTCTTTGATTTTTTTATACCCATAGGCCGCTTTTTTCCAGCACCCACACTTGGTGATTCTGGTTTGGATCGTTTCCCACTTCCCTCGCTCTCCAAAGGAAGCTGTTGGACCATATGTGGGTCCCATTTAGGACAATTTTGCATTGTTTCAAAACAATGCATCAAAGTAAAGTGTTTTCCATGATTGAGTTTTGCATAATACTCATGGGCACGTTGGACAGCGTCTCCGCCTGAGTTTCCACTTTTCGGATGTCGTAGGATATAATTGTACGCCATAACCCATTTTGAAACCCATTTGTTGATAAAATCCCAACGTTGTTGCATGGACTTAATGGTCCATTCTTTTATCTCTTCAAGGTTCTCTACCCGTGCCTCTTCGTATAACTTCCCAATTGCAGCCCATAAACCGGCTTTAGTTCGTTTCGTATTTATGGTAACATTCCCACCGGCGTTGATGTAGCCTGAAACAAGCGCCTTATCCTCAGTTATACTCCATGCAGTAGCTTTTTTATCATTGAGGTCTTCTCCGGTAATGTCAACAACATCATCATCGAGATCTTCTAGATGTTGCGCTTCCCGTACATCTTCTGTTGGAGAAGCAGTGCTACTAACATTTACTCTTGGATATTGATCCATGGGTTGGGTAAAATATTGGGACATGGGAAATAATGGGACATTTTGTGAAGATGAACCCCCATGAAATTGGTGAGGAATTTGGGATGTATAATTCGGGTTTATAGGTCTTTGGTCGCTACCAAACCATTGCAAAGCAGCTTGAAATTGTGGATTATTGAATATATTTGGATCAAAAGGGGGAGTATTTGCATTGTATTCAGTTGGGAAATTCATATTTCTTCCATAATTAGGATTATTTGGATCCATTATAGAAGAAAATTTTAAAATTAGAGGAAAGAGAGGAAAAATATGAAAAATTGAAGTGCATAAAAAATGGCCAAAATTAGGTTCATTTTATAGAGGAAAAAAAAAATAAAGCTGTTGGTGAAATCAGTTTTTTTAAATAAGTTACCGTTTGTTATTAATTACCGTTATAAGATTTTTGTGCTAGTAAAATCATGTAACAAATATAACAAATCAGTGGCTGCCACTTGTCAGAAGATTAATTTTTTTCCTTTTTTTTTAATTTAACAAAACGTCACCGTTTGCATTGTATTTTTGCTTGAAACGCTGTTTTTAGTCATCCTCTTGGCACGGTAGACGAGGTTCACTTTCCTTCAACAGAAGAGGATTCATGAGCATCCTCCTCCCCTCAAGGATCCTCAATAATTCCCAGCATCAAAGAGGATATGTTCACCTAAGCAAAAACGACCTTCAAGAGGATAGATATCCTCTCCAATATTCATGCTCTAACTAATATATAAAGCTAAACTTTTAGTCAGAGAACAAGACAACACACTTGGCGTTCTAACTTTTTGCCAAGTGTCACGCTACGTAGGATAGAATTATACAGAATTTAATTTATAGGATAAAAAAGTTCGTTTAGAATTCTATTTTCAATCAAATTTGGATAAAATTTTAAGATAAAATTGTTAATTTAGAGTTTTATTTTCGATAAAGTACCAATATTTATAAATTGAATTATAATTTTATTCAAAAAATAATTACATTATATTATAACTCTCATAAATTTAAATATAATTTTATTTTTTGGATCATAATATTTTTTTGGAACGAAGGAATTAGTTCAAAATGTATCACATCTATTATTTATAATATATTCTAATCAATTAAAATAATAATACTTCAAAATCTAATATAATTTTATTACTATGTGTAAACATGTGTAAACAACTTACATGTCAATCAGGTCGGATCACGAGTTATTTCGGACAGGGTCATTATTTCAGGTTATGGGTCAAGAAATGTTTTCAGCAATATTATTATTATTATTATTAGTCATTACATACCTACTACATAGTTTAAATTGTCACAAAATTAAAAACACATAATTTCCTAACTAAATTTGTATCAATGATATGTTTTAAAATTTTACATATAGATTAAAAATTAATCTTAAAATTCAATAAACAACCCGGGCATCGCACGAGCACAAAACTAGTTAGTATATGAAGTGAATTGCGGGTGTTGGTTCACAAAATATAGGTATGAGGTAGTGCCGTATGGGTTTAGAATGAATAAGGCCTATTCTCTTGAGCTTAATTTCAATTCAGTCCAATTTTTAATTTCCTTCTCTCATAAATCAGTTCATTTTAATAAATTAGAATAGGTCCTAAAATACATGTCATATGTTTGATTGTTAAAAGTATGAATTTTAAATCAATACCAGGGGGAAGGTGGGTTTGGCTAATTTCATTCCCTTAGGTTTCAAATATATAGGTGTTTGGTTCACTTAATTAAGATATGAGTTTAGAATGGTTTAAACCCATACCTTGTGTTTGTTTTATGATTTTAAGAGTTTCAAACTCATACCTCAAACCCCCAAAGTATGGGTTTAGAAACTTTGGAGAGAGATGGGTTTGGCTCATTTCCATTCTTTTAGGTATCAAATAATAGAAAAAAATTGCATTCCATAATCATACCAAACATATGGTATTAAGAATCGAGTTCCAAACCCATACCACTATGGTTTCATTCCTGATTCCAACCCCATACTAGTTTGCAAACCAAACACCCCCTGAGAGGATGAGATCTCATTTCAAAATTGAACCAAATACATGTATTAAATATCAAATTCCAACCCAATACCACCTTTACATCATCTATATATATACTTAGTATTTAAAAACTATAACCAAAAAACTAAGAAAGACACATGTCCCCATCTATTACACTTCTCTAACTATAGTGTCATATGTCATCTTACACTATTAATTTTTTATTACACCATTTTTTTTAATTCTTTCATTAAATTTATACTTCATCATTCATACACACTTCATCTCTCTCCTTTAATTCAACCTTTTCCTATTCTCTCTTTAATTTTAGCCCTTCCACCATCTATTTAAGCCTCTTTTTCGAATAAAGTTCCAAAATTTTAATTTCTTTAATCATGTTTCCGATAACATATTATACCCTATAATGACTTACTGATATTTCCTCACTTGTCTCTCAATACAATTTTTCAGATCACATATTATACCCTATAATGACTTACTGATATTTTCTCACTTATCTCAATACAATTTTATATAAATAACCCATGCATTGCACGGGCCAGAAGGCTAGTTCTTGATTTCAAACTCATACCACTCTGCTAAACAAATATCTCCTAATATTCCACCATAAAAAACACCAAAAGCGTAGTATTAAATGACCATATTGCCCCAAGTAAATTGTTAAATTCCACAATAAGTATACTCGTTTAGGAGATTGGGTATGGGTACAGATCCAAGTGTCTGGTACAGCATCTCCTAAAAATTAGGATACGAAGACTCTATCCGGATCTTAGACACGGGTACTAGTATATTATATAATACGGAGTATACAATTTAAAAGAAAAATAGATACGTCATAAAGAATAATAGTAATAATAAACTAATAAATCACATTTAATATGAGTTACAAAAAAGAATGGAGTACAATAATAATTATCATTGATACTATTGTAAAAATAATAGAGGCTCAAATTTGTTGACCGGGTTTAAGGCCTTTAAGCACTCTCACATATTGAATCAAAAACCTGGCCACCACCTTAGTGTAACATAAATAAATAAAAAATATAAACCTTTTAAATTTACTGCTAGGGTTGTACACAGTTTGGTCTAAACCGTAATCAAACTAGATCAAACCGTATTTTAGCGATTTGGTTGAATTACGATTTATAAAATACGGTTTGGTTTCAGATTTTTTGTAAATACGGTTTACGGTTTGGTTTGGATTTCAAAAATTATATGTCAAACCAAACCGTAAACCAATAAACCACATTTTAATATTTAAATAAATAAAAATAATTATTACTTCCTCCATTTCTTTTTAGTTGACACGTTTCTTTAGTCACGTTTAACAATGCACAAATTCAATCATTAATATCTTTAAATTCCGATAAACAAAAATTATAAAATGTTGATATTTTGAAAATATATATATTGTGACGAATTTAACAAGATCTCACTCGACTATATTTTTCTTCACATATGTCTAACAAAACATGGTCAAAGAGAGATGTGTGAATAGTGCTAAAGTCAAAATGTGTCAACTAATAAAAAAACGGAGGTAGTATATATTAAAAATAATAAAATAAAAAAAATGAAAAATCAAAATTCAACAAGGTGTAGTGGATTAGTATTATTTATCAATTTGTAGGGAAAAATGTCGTCTTATCATAAATCGCAAATCAATCCACACCAAACCATACTATTACGGTTTGATTTGGTCTAGTTTCAATACTAATATGGTTTGGTTTGGTTTGAAAAATTTACCAAAATCGTATTTTGTGGTTTAGTTTGGTTTGGACTCAAAGCGCACCAAACCAAACCGTGTTCACCCCCTACTTACGGCTATGTGAATAGGAGAAAGGAAAGATTAAAAAAAAATAAAAAAATTAAGATACTTTTATCAAATGCACATGATAGAATAGAGGAAAAAAATATAAATGTCGAGAAGAAGTCATTGAAAGTTGCAGAGCTTAAACAACTACGTAATTTTATCTTTTTTCTTCAATGTCGTATCTGAGTTAAAAAAACCTATTCCGACCTAGATTTCATACCCGTGTCGAGTCGAATCAACAACTAATTGGTGGTTGTGGCTGTCGGGATTATTGTTGATGGTTCGACGGGAAAGAGGGTATGATGAAGTGGGTTGTATTGATTCTTGTGAATTGAAGTCCTCCATTGAAAGGGAGGGAGTTGGACTCAGAGAGGACGACGTGGTAATTTTACATAAAGACGGTGTTTGATGCGGTGGTGGTTGTGGTTAGGGGTGTTCAAATCCGGGTACCCGGGTATTCGGGTACCCGAAAACCCGGGTACCCGGAGATTAGGGTACTTGTTAATTTGTCCCATGTCCCGACCCGAATATCTCGAGTACTCGGGTTTCGGGTACCCGAATTATTCGGGTCGGGACATAGGGTACCCGGATCTCTTTTTATTTTATTTTATTTTTGATAAAAAAGAGTCATGAAATGAAAAGAACCCAGTAGCAAAACATATCAAAGACAATAATAATCTTCATCCTTAATTATGTAATCAAATAATCATATTTACATATCATGAAAAGTAAAAAAAAAACTTTGATTATGGGGATTTATATGTCCACGTACAATTCAAGTTCTCTCTCTAGAATTTTCTCTCTAACTTCTCTCTAGTTGTCTAAGTAAACCTCTTGTACTGTCTACTTTTGTGAATAACTAAGGGTGTTCTTCACACCCAGGGGTGTGGGGACCTTGGGAGTTTGCTCTAGTGGGACTTTATAAGTTGTATTTACTTTCTTTTAGCTCTTCCATCTAATGGAAGAGGGTAAGCTCATGTCAGTTAATCCTACTCCTGGTAATGAGGAAGAGATGGTGGATGTCCTTCCTGATGTTCATCATGTTACTGGTGATGATCATTATCCCATATATAATTCCACCTGTGGGAATATCTCCAGCTATATCTTTTAGGGAAGCAGTGGCTAGCTCTTCGCAATGATTTAGTGAGGCTAGAAATATTGCAATGACCTCTTTGGATTGGGAAGAACAGCCAGAAGAGTTACCTAACTCTACTCTGGCAGTAAAGTTTGATCCCGAGTTGTTATCAAGGTTAAGAGAACCATGGAAGCTTGCTCTCATGGGTAAATGCTTGGGTTTGAGTGTTAGACCAGCCTTTATGTCATCAAGAGCACGCATTATGTGGAAAATCAAGGGTACACTGAAAACAATAGATGTTGGGAATCAGGTGTATTTATTTTGATTTTCCTGTTTGGATGAT